TGTCTTTTATCTTGTAATTAGTTTATGTTATAGATATTGTCATTTAAAGGTTAACTAGGTCATTTGAGAAATATCGTGGAATATTAAAAAATTGTGATGGGGAAATGATTATGCAGGCCTATCTATCCAGTCAGTGGGTATGGGGCCTTTGAAGGTCACTGAACAACATCCCTCCTGTGATCTGCGTCACTTCATTCAAAGCCTTTCCAGGGCCAACGGAAGCCCACATTTCTAATTTTTGTTTTAAGCTGGTGGCTGACCGATTGGACAGTGATGCAGACACCGCGGTTGACCTTATAAGCAGTCTAATTAAAACATAATGCTGCTTAGTCTGAAAAACGTGACTTAACTTAATATGTAGTGAACTAATTTTGTTGAAATGTTACATATAGTTGCTAAATATTTTAATGTCATAACCGAAGTATTTTAGGTTGGGAAACCATGCCACATTCACCATTAGAGACCACTTCCTTGTAAAGGCCTACCCTTTCCTTGTTGTAAATCTTATTTTATTAACATTTAGTCAATCTCTAATAAAGAAACACTAACGGTAACTTCTTTTTGAACAGTAATGAACAGTATTTCAATTGGGAAATTATTGTTAATGTTGTGCCAAAAAATATTGTGCATCAAAGTGCAAAATATATTAATTGTTTAGATTGGGTTTGACTAAATTATCACCTCTAGTAGTAGTAGATAATAGAGAAATTAGTAATTTTGTTTATGTTTATAGTGATTTCAATGTTATTGTACACTGTTTTTATACTATGTTGGTAAATGATATTTTGATTAGTATTTTAAATCTCTATTTGTTATGCTTTTTTCACAGATAAAAAAGAGAATCCTGACGTTATACAGTCAATAGAACAGGAACTAGTTCTATTAAAACAGAAACCAAAACAATTAGTAAGTTCAGAATTTGTTGCCAAAAATGATATCTTTATAGAATCTACAACACTTCATTTATGAAAGTATACAAATATACAGTATCTAAAATGGATCTTTAATCTTGATTCCAACTGATGTAATATATTTTTTGGCCACAAAACCAAAATTTCTTTGCATTGATAATTAAATTAATTGATTAGTAATTTTCAATTTTAAATAACTAAAGATAATTACGGTAGAATATTTCTGTTTTGTGGCATTTTTACGAAGCCTTGTATAATCAGTGGCATATCTAGGCATCTTGAAATTGTGGGGGGGGGGGTGCCTGATAGAGCGACAGTGAATTGGGGAGGCTCGATAATTAGGTGGCGGGGTGCAAGCTTCCAAAATAAGGTGATTTGACTTGATTTTTAACTACTTGAGCATGATTTTGGTTGGGTGTACCCCATTCATTCCCTTCAGATACACCACTGTTTATAATGTAATTTGCATGGTAATCATTTATGATGTTTTAAAGTGCCCCCGGTTTTTTTAATCTTCTGATTTTTTAGGGTTTTACCAGATTCTTCTGTGGACAATGCATCATTTAACCATGGTTTACAAAAATAATAATAAAAATAATGTTACATTTAGCACATATTGCACATTGCCTCTATGCGCTTTAACAATTAACAGAGAAATGAGAAAATAAAGAAATATTATAATTATAAGAATAACAACAATAATATACTAACTATGTTAATCTTTGTTTTAGGGTATTTGCCAGATTTTACCAAAGAGTAGACATGTATTATTATTAATTCAACCATGGTTTTCAAAAACCACAATGTATAAACTGGCAACTAACCTGTTGATAATTCATTTGATTTTTGGTAATCCTTGCAGGAAACCGGATATTTTTATAATAGGATGAAACTTATAAATCTGTAATTGAAGAGCAAATGTTAAACATAAACCAGTTTTCCATGAGTATATTCAAAAGTCAATATTTCCTTAATAATTTGTTTGTATTATTTACATATCAAATATAAGACAATTTCAATTTCCTTAAAAAAAAAAATTCACTAGGGTGAATCATATTTACATAGTTTCACTTGTGATTACAACTACTGAGATTATTTGATGTTGGCATATCTAAGCAAGAAAGCAAGGATTCAAGGAATCAACTAAGGTTACAAAGTATCTTCTTTTTAGCGTGATCATAACTGAATTAAGTCACCTTATTAATGGGAATATAGAAACCTGTAAAAACTGAAAGGTCCACTGATTAATCTCAAATAAGATAGTATATTACATACTCCAATTCAAATGAAATAATACATACTCCAGTCAAATGAATTATCAACAGATCAGTTGCCAGCTTATACATTGTGTTTTTTTAATGTTGCTGATTTTGATTATATTTTGTCTTGGATTTTCCATAATTTCCTTCATGACAATACAACAGGCTATTCTGTACTGCCAGTATGACAGTTTGATACAGTGTAGATAATCCATTTCTTTCTTTCCATTTGAATGAACTGTTATTGATGCCTACACATTGTTTGCATATTTTAGTATGATTTGCTTTGTTGTCCTTGGTCCCTGGAATATCTGGTAGCCTACCATTATGCTTTTGAGAGAGGCCCTCTATGGAATGAACCATGGCAAGAATACATGTTTTGCTAAAGTTAAATTCACAAATTTTTCATTCATTTTACGTTAGTTACTTTAAATATTTAAGGTGATCTCTATTCTAATTCTATTGTAGGCCTAATATTTTGAAAGATATTCCTTAAAACATGTAATTTGTTTATATTTTTGCAGTGTATTTTTTCTACAAAATTATTGTAAAAAGTTATTTTAATTGTATCCAATGTATCATTGATAAGTAATATAGTCACATCGGCATTCCCCACAAATATAAAAAATAAAGAAATAATTTTCAATAATTAATTGTGATATGCCATCAACATTCATTGTGATGTCATAATGATATCGGTATTATTTTCATTTTATTTATTTCTTCCTGGGTGACTTGAGCCTTATGAGTGATATTCAAAATGTAAAGTTTAATAATATTGATGTTAGTTACTGTATGAGAACAAATAATAAGAAAGTATAATACATACAGTACTCTAATACCCATTTCACACTAGCAGAAAATATTACAACTTTTAACAATTATTAACAAGTTGTAAGAAGTTTGATATTCCGAGATTTTTGGTTCGTTTCACAAGTGCACTTTCAAACCATGAGAAATCTCGGGAAAACTCGGAAGAATAATGACTAGGCCTAGGCCTAGAGGCTTAGGGTAGTACTAGTAGTAGGCCTCCTAGGCTAGTTGTAGGTTGTGCGAATTACATATCAACTACTAAACTAGGCCTGGTACCGAATTAACAAGATTATAATTATTCCATGGTCCTTAGCCTTTGGAGAGTAAAGTGAATTCAACTCCTGGCTCGCTTGCTGTAGTCGAGCTGGCGAGAAAGATAGGCCTAGGTTAGCTTGGCGCAGTCGGGCCGCCGGCCGGTAGCTCACCATTGTTGTTAGAGGCAATCAGTGCAACAAGCATCATAATGATTCGCTGTCGGCGTATTTTACGAAGCCTCTGGATTGTTTCTACATCAGACATGTGAAATTTAGCGAGATTTCTTTTGATTTTAGGTCTAGGCCTATTAACAAATGGTAGTACAGTACCGGACAGTTTTATTGCAAAAATTCAACGCATTCAACCCGTTGCGTTTTCGTTGACAACGCGTTGGCGTTTTCGTTGGCGTTGTCGTTGAAACTGTTGACATCGTTGAGAGCTCAGAAA